TCAATTAAGTGGATCCATTTAAACGGTGCTCCCCTCTGCCTGAGATGAGTTATACCATGTTTCTTCCCACCTTCACCTTCAGGGACTGACAGTATAGTGAAGCCCATCACAAAGATACCTGATGAAGCAGCACATGGAGGTATCATAGGACCAATGAGTGGCTCTCTGACATCCACATCACCTGTTAGTCCTAGAGGTATGTACAATTTTGCTTACTTCCCAGTAGTTCCACTTTCAGCCTTGTTTCCTGTTCCAGAGACATGAAATATTTGTTTTCTTTGTAGAGAGAATTGGGTGGGCTGCCACAGTTCCACTGTCTAAGCTAAATCTTTGCCTAATGGTTACCAGGTGCATTTTACCATTTTATCTTCCCTCAAAATATGTGAAATGAATTTAGCTTAAGGTTGGCTATATCAGCTTAACAAATGTAAACACAGTTTAACTTAATTCTGAAAACACTCATAATGTTGTAAGTGTTATAACTTAGCTGTACAGTGAACTGAGACAACAAAGATGAAAATATTTTGGCACTGTATCCATGGAGCTCTCAGCTCAGCAGAGGAGACAACAAAGGAAAAAAATATTTATAACTTAGCTGAACAACGAACGAAGACAACAAAGATGAAAATATTTTGGCACTGTATCCATGGAGCTCTCAGCTCAGCAGAGGAGACAACAAAGGAAAAAAATATTTATAACTTAGCTGAACAACGAACGAAGACAACAAAGATGAAAATATTTTTGCACTGTATCCAGGGAGACCTCAGTTGAGCAAAGAAGACAGGGAAAAAAAAATTATGATGTAACCTTAAAAAGGGAGCTCTGGTGGCATAGTGCCTAAGGCATTTGACTGCTAACCAGAAGGCTGGCAGTTGAAACCCACCAGCCACTCCTCAGAAGGAAAACTGGACAATCTACGTCTGCAGAGATACTGCCTTGGAAACCCAAGGAGGGGTCACTATGAGTCGAATCGACTCAACTCGATGGCAGTGAGTAATCTTAAAAATACCCAATGGGGATATATTTGAACCACAGAGGGAAGGATTCATGGAGAAGGTAATACTTGAATAAGATTTTAAAGGACGCATAAGAGTTTACCAGGAAGAGAGAGGGTGCTGATGAAGCTTTCTGGACACAAGGGAGAGCAGCGTGCAAGGACACAGATGGAGACAATACCAGGAAATGAGTTTTCCATTCCCATTGCCACCGAGTTGATTCTGACCTCATGTATGTTGGAGACCTGTGTGCCGTGAAGTTTTCAGCGGCTGATTTTCAGAAATCGATCAGCAGGCCTCTTCTGAAGGGTGTATCTGGCACAGTACCAACCACTCCCCTCTGCTTCAGCGTGAAACATAGGGGATGATGGTGGGAGATGAAGCTGGTGAAGTGGACAGAAAACAATATTCAGAACACCTAATGCTTGATAGGGAGCTCTGGTAGCATAGTGGCTAGGGCACTTGACTGCTAACCAGAAGGCTGGCGGTTCAAACCCACCAGCCACTCCTCGGAAGGAAGATGGGGCAATCTACTTCCGTAGTGATACTGCCTCGGAAACCCAAGGAGGGTCGCTATGAGTCGGGGCCGACTGGACGGCAAATAACAACAACAATGCTTGATAACGTTTGAATGTCTTTTAACAAGAAGGCAAAGAAATCTGCAGTCAAAAAGTTAGACAAACCTCTTGCTCCATCTTAGAGTCAAAACACACATATGCATATTAAAGACTCTAAATTAAAAAAATCCTACTGTAAAGAAGGGAGTCCCTAGGTGGTACAGTTAACACACTCGCACTTGGCTGCGAAGTTAAATTAAAGGTTTGAGGCTTGCGTCCGTCTAGAGGCACCTCAAAATATAGGCCTGATGATCAACTTCTGAAAACTCAGCCATTGAAAACCTTATGGAGCACAGTTCTACTCTGAAACACAGGGGGTCAACATGAGCAGGAATTAACTTGACGGCAACTGGTTTACTAAAAGGAAATCTGAGCTTTGTTCAACCCAGAGTTTTATACAGTTGTTTGTATATTCTTTTCTCTGAAAGGCACCTACTAACGTTTCACAGAGTTCTATTCTACACAAGGGTTTAACAGTTGCAGGTGTATATAGCAAGGAGTCTTCCTTACTGCATGCCTTAAAGGTAAAGCTCTCCCATCCCTATTAAGCTACTCCCAAGGAATTGAGAGACCAGACTATTTTGCCAGCACATTTTGGAAGGTTTTGCAAGATCCAGGCTAAGTGGCTTTGGATAGAGTCACCCCCACTCAGGTTATTTGTCCCATTCTGTAACACAGGTATCTTAGGTGGGAATTCCCATAAGCATATGTCAAGGCTTTGAGGGCAAGTAGTTTATTGTAATGAGGCATTAATGGTCCAGTGGTAGACTTCTCTCATTCCACACAGGAGATCCAGGGTCTATTCCTGGCCAATGCACCTCAGCACAGCCACCATCCCTCTGTCAGTGAAGGCTGTGTGCTGCTATGATGTTGAACAGGTTCCACTGGAGCTTCCAGACTAAGATAGACTAGGAAGAAAGGCCTGGCAACTGACTCCTGACAATCACCTAGTGAAAATCCTACGGATCGCAATGGTCAGACCCCAAGCCCCCACAGGAATGGCACTGGACCAGGCACGTTTCATTCTGTGGTTCATGGGTACACTGGGAATCAGAGGCTGACTTCACAGCATGTAACAACAACAAGTTTATCTTCAGTGGAGGATGATTCCAGAAGCACTGGACGGGGAGGCGAGAAGAGAAGGGGAAGGAGCTAATGCAGGGCATTCATGAGCATGTCATATCTGTGGGCAAGAATGTAGTCCATGGGGGACTTCGGAGAGATGGTGTAGAACACCTCAGAGTTGTGCTACCCAAGGGGTAAGATGGCTGGGGTATTTACCATCCAACTCTTTCTATCATGGGTAGGGGGCTGCTTGCTCCCAGAGGCGCTGACACCAGCACATCCAGCCTGTCCTGCATGCCTTGGGTGTGAAGTTGCAGGGCTGCAGTAGGAGCTCTTGGCCTGTACTGGGATGCTGGGTACCGGCAGGACGTTAGCAGGACATAGACAGACTCAGTTTTGTCAGGCTACTGAAAAATAGATTTAAAAATAGGAAATAGCAAAGTTTATGAGGAATAACCAACAACATTCATTGGCTCCTTTCTGTCTAGAGCCAACTCTCTCCCTTTGGCACCATTAATAGACATTTGGGGCCAGCTAACTCTTTGTGGCAGGAGGCTGCCATGTGCATTGTAGGGCATTGAGCAGTATCCCTGGTCTCTAATCAACTCAGTGCCCACAGCACCTCCTTACACACAGTGGTGACAACCAAAATATCTCCAGATATGGCAAAGTGTCCCCTGGGGGCAAAATTTCCTCTGATTGAGAACCACTGAAACAGGTAGTGCTTGTAAAACCCTTTAGGTAGTAATAGAAACAATAGTAATAAAAGCAGTAGTGGTAGGAATTAATAATGGTTACAGTAACTGCAGTAGTAACTGGACTAGTAACAGTAGTCTTAGTGCGTAATAGTGGTAGTAATAACAGTAGTGATAGAAATAGTATTAATATATGATTGTGAGCCAGGAGGCACTATGCATGATGCATTTCTTTGTTTGATTGTGATTTGGTTGAAAGTTTACAGAGCAAATTAGTTTTCCGTTCAATCATTCATACATATTTTGTTTTGTGACATTCACTGCAGTCTCCACAGTGGAACAGCACTCTTCCCACTTCCACCCTCTGTCTACCATTTCCCTTCATACTTGGCACATTTTTAACACCATCCTGAGATGACCCTTGTACTTATCCCCACTATATAGATGAGAAATGGAAGTCTACAAGGTTTGGTCACAGAGAGGGCCACACATCTATCTAGGGCAAGAGCCAGGCTATCTTATTCCAGAGCCCTAGTTCTCAAACACTACAAAACATGATCTCTCTGAAGTCAGAGAAGACCCCTATGCATCCATCCATCCATCTATCCATCCATGTATTCATTAATTCATTCAATAAATGTTTGTTGAGCAGCTACTATACTCCAAGCGGTCAGACATTAATAGCTATCATCAAGCAGATTGTGAGGGGTGGCATGGCACCGATTCAGACAGTGTGATAGGAAATATTGAAAGAGATAAGAGATGTATTCTGCTGTAACTGATGCAAATTTGTGAAAGTAGATTGAGCTGGGGTTTAAAGATGGCCAGAATATAAGAATTTATGGGGAATGCATGTGTCAGGCAGAGAGAACAGCTTAAACAAGGGCTCAGAGGCTGGAGAGTACAGAAAATGTTTGGAAACAAAGAATAGACTAGTCTGGTCAAGAGTTCATGGGGACTTTTAGCCCAAAATTAGGTCGGTGAATGCCAATCACAAGCTATTTTTCCATTCTAGAACCATCTCAGGTGCATCCCATGTAGCAATAACTGAAAGACATTTCTCTCCTTTTCCTCATACAGAGGAAAAAGAAGCTATTTCTAGTCCAATACGTTTTTTGGTCATCTTGTCCAAATTTTGTGTTTATCCCCAATTCACAGAACTATCCACAAGAGGGACAGAGAGAGCAGAGACCACCACCACAGCTCTGAAAGCCACAGGAGGCATGGTGAGTCTGACCAGCACAACCTCCACTCCCACCTTGGGAACACTGACTGCCCTCAGGACATCAGGTAACACACCCAGTTCCAGCACAACAGGACTGATCACAAGCCCAGCTGTTTCTCCTGATGCGGAGACAACAGCCTTGCTGGCCACCACACCTGATGCAGAGATCAGCCCAGCTGTTCCCAGGACAACTCCATCTGTTTTCAAGGGTGAGCCAGAGACCACAACCTCACTTGTCCCTAGTTCTGCAGGAAAGACCAGCCCAACTCCTGACTCTCTGACTGATTCCCCTCATGAGCCAGAGACAACAACCTCATGGGTCACCCATCCTTCAGAGACCAGCTCAACTGTTCCTAGCACAATCCAAAATGTTTCCCATGGTGAATCAGATGCCACACCCTCAATGGCCACCAGTCTTTGGACAGAAGCCAGTTCAGCTGTTCCAGTGTTGACTGCCTCTCCTGGTGTAGGGACCTCACTGGTCACTAATTTTGAGGCATTGACCAGTACATCTATTCCAATTGTGACTGATTCTCCTAGTGAACCAGGGACTGCAGTCTTACCAATCACACATCCTGAGTCCCAAACCAGTCCTGCTATTTCCACTTTGACTTTTTCCACTGATGGGATGGGGATGGTGACCTCACTTGTTACTAGTCCTGAAGCAGAAACCAGTGAAACTATTCCAGCTATGACTGATTCCCCAGGTCAACTAATGGCCACAGACTCATTGACCACTCATCCTGAGGCACAGACCAGTTCAGCTGTTTCAACTCCACCTATCTCCTCCAGTATGCAAAGGTTGGTGACTTCACTGGTCACTAGTTCTTGGGCAGAGACCAGAATGTCTATCTCAACTCTGACTGATTCCCCTGATGAGTCAGTTACAACAGCCTCATCGGTCACATATCCTTCAGAGACCAGCCCAAATATTCCCAGGACAACCCCAAATGTTTCCTCCATTGAAGCAGACAGCACACCTTCAATGGCCATCAGTCCTGGGGAAGAAGCCAGCTCTGCCGTTCCAACTCGGACTGTCTCACCTGGTGCCCTGGATATGGTGACCTCACTGTTCACTAGGTCTGGGGCAGAGACCAGTACAGTTGCTCCAACTATGACTGATTTCCTGCATGAACCAGAGACTACAGCCCATCCTAAGCCAGAAGTCAGTTCAGCTGCTCCAATTTTGACTATCTCCTCTGATTTACCAGAGATGGTGACCTCATTGGTCACTAGTTCTGGGGAAGAGAGCAGCCCATCTCTTATAACTCTGACTGATCCCTCTCATGTGCCAAAAACAACAACCTCATGGGTCACCCATCCTTCAGAGACCAGCTCAACTGTTCCTAGAACAACCCCAAGTGTTTCCTACAGTGAATCAGACACCACACCCTCAATGGCAACCAACCCTCAGGCACAAGCCAGTTCAGCTGTCCCAATTCTGACTGTCTCACCTGGTGTCTTGGATATGGTGTCCTCACTGGTCACTGGCTCTGGGGCAGAGACCAGTACAATTATTCCAGGTATGACTGACTTCCCAGGTCAATCAGTGACAACAGTCTCATTGACTATTCATCCTGAGACACAGACTACTTCAGCTGTTTCAACTCCAACTGTCTCCTCTAGTGAACAGTGGGTGGTGACCTCACTGGTCACTAATTCTGGGACAGAGACCAGCACAGCTATCCCAACTCTGACTGATTCGCCTGATGAGCCAGATACAACAGCCTCGTGGGTCACATACCCTTCAGAGACCAGCCCAAATGTTCCCAGAACAACCCCAAATGTTTCCCACAGTGAAGCAGACAGCACACTCTCAGCAGTCACCAGTCCTCAGGCAGAAGCCAGTACAGCCATTCCAACTCTGCCTGTCTCACCTGGTGTCCTGGATATGGTGACCTCATTGGTCACTAGCTCTGAGGCAGAGACCAGCACAACTATTCCAGGTATGACTGATGCCTCAGGTCAATTAGTGACCACAGCCTCATTAGTGACCCATCCTAGGACAGAAACCAGTTCATCTTTTCCAACTCTGACTGTTTCCCCTGATTTATCAGGAATTATGACCTCACTGGGCACTAGCTCTGGCTTACAGACCAGTACAACTATTCCAACTCTGACTGTTTCTTCTGGTGAACCAGAAACCACATCCTCATTGGCCAGCCATCCTGGAACTGAATCTAGTTCAGCTATTCCAAATCGGATTGTTTCCACTGGTGTGACAGAGATGGTGACCTCGTTGTTCTCTAGTTCTGGGGCAGACACCAGCACAACTATTCCAGCTCCAACTGTTTCTCTTGCTGAACCAGAAACCACATCCTCATTGGACAGCCATCCTGGGACTGAGTCCAGGTCAGCTATTCCAACTCTAATTGTTTCCACTGGTGTGACAGAGAAAATGACCTCACTATTGGTCTCTACCTCTGGCATAGAGACAAGTACAACTGTTCCAGTCCTTACTGTTCCTCCTGATGAACCAGAGACAACAGCCTTACCAGTCACCCATCCTGCTTCTGAGTCCAGTTCAGCTATTCCAACTCTGAATGCTTCTTCTGGTGTACCAGGGGTGGTGACTTCTTTGGTCACTAGTTCTGGAGTAGAGACCAGTACAACTATTTCATCTCTGATTGTTTCTTCTGGTGAACCAGAAGCCACATCTTCATTGACCAGCCATCCTGGGACTGAGTCCAGTTCAGTCATTCCAACTCTGATTGTTTCCACTGGTATCATGGGTATGGGGACCTCACTGGTCACTAGTTCTGGGGCAGAAACCAGTATAGCCATGCAAACTCAAAATCTGACTAATTCCCCAGGTCAGCCAGAGACCACAGCCTCATTAGTGACTCATCCTGAAACAGAAATCAGTTCATCTGTTCCAACTCTGACCATTTCCCCTGGTTTATCAGGAATGATGACCTCATTGGACACTAGTTCTAGATTAGAGTCCAGTACAACTATTCCAACTCTGACTGTTTCTCCTCATGAACCACAGGCCACATCCTTACCAATAACCCATCCTGGGACTCAGTCCAGTTCAGCCATTCCAACTCTGACTGTTTCCACTGGTGTGATGGGGATGATGACCTCATTGACCACTGGTTCTGGGGCAGAGATAAGTACAACTGTTCCAACTCTGACTGTTTCTCCTGGTGAATTAAAGATCACGGTCTTACCAGTTACCCATCCTGGGGCTGAGTCCAGTTCAGCTATTCCAACTCAGACCGTCTCCCCTGGTGTACCAGGGTTGGGGACCTTATTGGTCACTAGTTCTGGGGCACAGAGCAGTACAACTATTCCAACTCTGACTGATTCAGAAACTTCTCCCTTACCAGTAAACCATCCTAAGGCAGAAACTAGCTCATCTGTTCCAACTCCAACTAGCTCCCCTGGTTTATCAGAAATGGTGACCTCATTGGTCACTAGTTCTCAGGCAGAGGCCAGTACAACTATTCCAACTCTGACTGTTTCTCCTAGTGAACCAGAAACCACAACCTCATTGGCCAGCCATCCTAGGACTGAATCTAGTTCAGCTATTCCAACTCTGATTGTTTCCACTGGTGTGACAGAGATGGTGACCTCATTGGTCAGTAGCCCTGCGGTAGAGACAACTACAAGTTTTCCAGAACTAACTGTTTCTCCTGGGGCTAAGTTCAGTTCAGCTGTTCCAGCTCTCACTGTTTCTCCTGGTGTATCAGGGGTGGTGACCTCACTGGTCACTAGTTCTGGAGCACAGACCAGTACAGGTATTCCAACTATGACTGATTCCCTACATGAAACAGAAACTTCTTCCTTACCAGTCACCCATCTTAGGGCAGAAGCTAGTTCATCTATTCCAATTTTGGCTGTCTCTCCTAGTGGACCAGGGATGGTGACCTCCCTGGTCACTAGTTCTGAGGCAGAGAGCAGTACAACCAATCCAATGCCAACTGCTTCTCCTAGTGAACCAGAGACCTCAGCTTTCTTGGTCACCCACCCCAGTGCAGAGTCAAACCCAGCTATTCCTGCTTCCACTGTTTTGCCTTACGTGTCAGAGACCACAGGCTCATTAGTCGTCACACCTGGAGTGGAGATGAGTACAGCCCTTCCAGTTCAGACCATCTCCCTTGGTGTAGCCGAGACAACATCCTCTCTGTTCACTATACCCAGGACTGAGACCAGCAGATATAATCTAACTCCAACAGTTTCACCTAAATTTCCCACAGAAACAGCCTCGCTCGCCACCCTTCCTGGGACGGAGACTAGCACAACTATTGCAACTTCAACTCTTTCTCCTGGTTTATCAGAGACCACAGGCTTATTGGTCACCAGCCCTGCAGAAGAGGCCAGCACAGGTGTTCTGGCACTGACTGTTTCCCCTGGTGTACCTGGACGTGCCACTGCCCCTGCAGTAGCTGGGGAGCCTAATACTGTAGTTTCCTGGAGCACAGAAACTTCAGCACCCATGACCTCAGTTGGACTTCCAGAATTTTCTAGGACAGTCACAGGGGCCACTGTGACCTTGATGCCATCAGAGACTCCAACACCACCAAAAACTGGTCACGGAGAAGGAGCAAGTCCAACCACTACCCTGAAAACTGCAAGTGTTGAGATCACTGATTCAGCTACCACAGGTCCAGGTGCTGCCGTGGCCGAGACCATAACCACCTTCAGTACACTGTCCAGAAGTCCCTCTGCCTCTTGGACCACACCTGAGATGTCCACCTGGGCCTCTGTGAGTGTGACTTCAGCAAAACGTAAGAGTAATATTTTAACTTATTCTTGCTATACTTTTTCCCCATCAGAAACAGTATAATTACACTGTCAAAAATGTTGAAAACACATAAAACTCAAAGAATGAAAAATCCATCATAACCCGACCCACCAACTGGAGAAAGCTCCTTCATTTTTTTTTTTTTTTTTTTTTTGTGAAAGTTGACACAGCAGTTTAGTTTCCACTCAACAACTTCTACATAGATTTTTGGTGACCCTGGTTACATTCTTCACAATACATGAACAGTGTCAACATTTCCATTCTGGTTATCTCATTGCCGTGATTCTATTCTCCTGTCCCCTTACCTCATCTTTGTTTTAAAGTAATTGTTGACCATTTTGACTCATATAGATAATTTTTTAAAGGGGCACAGGACTCACAGGTGACATTGTTTATTTTGTGAGATGATATATTATTTAGCTAAAAGGTGACCTTAGGGACTTGTTTCAATTATTTTAGTGTTTTTTTTTTTTCCTTTTGTTTTTTCAAAAGAACAACCATATCATATAAAAATTTACTTTTTACCTCATGAATGTCTTCCACGTTATATGTTACCAGCTACATTTCATCATGTGGTTTGGCTCTAGTGTCATTTTATTTAAACTAAACCATTTGTCATGAAGTTAGTTCTGACGCATGGTGCCCCATGCATGTCAGACTAGAACTGTGCTCCAAAGGGTTTTCAATGGTGGACTTTTGAGAAGTCAGCAAAGCTTTCTTCCAAGGTGCCTCTGGGTGGACTCAAACCTCCAAACTTTTGGTTAGCAACCGAATGCATTAACCATTTGCACTATCCAGGGAAATCAGGGGTCAGCAGACTTTTCTTAAAGGGCCAGGTTGTAAATATTTTCACCATTACAGGCCATACAGTCTCTGTCCAGACTACTCAACACTGCTGCTGTGGTGTAAAAGCAGCCAATAACATTATGGTAACAAATAGGCATGGCTATGTTCCAATACAATTTTATAAAAACATAAAGCTGGCTAGCAGATTGGAATTTGTCAACTCCTGATTTAAAAAGTCCCCATAGTGGATATCGAGATTTTTAATTCCTTTTTTAAATTTTTTTATTGTGGTAAAGTATACATAACATAAAATTTGCCATTTTAATAATTTTTAAGTGGACAATTCAGGGGAACTAAGTATTCACAGGGCGCTCTGGTAGCATAGTGCCTAAGGCACTGGACTGCTAACCAGAGGGCTGGCAGTTCAAACCCACCAGCACCTCCTCGGAAGGAAGATGTGGCAATCTACTTCCGTAGTGATACTGCCTTGGAAACCCAAGGAGAGGTCGCTATGAGTCGGGTCTGACTCGATGGCACATAACAACAACAACAACAAGTATTTACAATGTTGTGCAGCCATCACTACTGTTTCCAAAACCCTTCTGTCACTTCAAACAGAAACTCTGTACTCATTAAACAACAATGAGATGAACACCCTCATAACTACTTTTTTGTTCTCTCATATGCACTGGTTGTGTGTTTGCCAAAGGTTCTTCTTTATAAATGTATCTGACCAGAATAAAATTAAATTCTGAATGAATTCAATTTAATAAATATTAATTAATAATAGGAGGAGCTCTGGTAGTGTAGTGGTTATGACATTTGGCTGCTAACCAAAGGCCAATGGTTCAAACCCACCAGGTGCTCCATGGAAGAAAGATGAGGTAGTCTGCTTCCATAAATATTTACAGTCTTAGAAACCCAACGGAGGTCACTGTGAGTGGGAACTGACTCATTGGCAGTGAGTTTGGTTCAGTTTTGGTTTATTAATATCAGGGGTACTTGTGGGGTGAAAGAAGTTCATGGGCTCAGCTACTAACTGACTGGTTGGAGGTTCAAATCCACCCAAAGGAATCTCAGAAGAAAGCAATGGCGATCTACTTCCAAAAACTCAGCCATTGAAAACCCTATGGAGCACAGTTCTATGCCAACATATGTGGGGTCTCCATGAAATGGAGTGACTTGAAGGCAACAGGTTGCACATTGGTTATTAGTAATAACCACAGAGAGAGGTGTATGGCAGGTATGGTGTGTGCCCTGGGCATCATCCAGACTTTCTGGAGCCATGGAGGCTGGATGAATTCCCAAAACTATTGCACTGAGATAGTCTTTAAACCTTAAACCAAAAATATCTCTTGAAGTCTTCTTAAAACCAAATAGTTCCCCTTAAGTAGTAAAGAAAGTTTGACTTGAGCATTATGCTCTTTTAAAGAACTATCTTGTTGTTAGGTCCTGTCGAGTCAGCTCTGATTCATAGCAACCCCATGTGCAACGGAACAAAACACTGCCGGTCCTGCACCAGCCTCACAATCCCTGCTGTGCTGAAGCCCATTGTGTAGCCACCTGAGGGGCTCATCTTCCAGTACTGTATCAGACAATGCTTCACCACCATTCATAAGGTTTTCAGTGGCCACTTTTTTTCAAAAGTGGATGGCCCAGTCCTTCTTCCGAGTCTTCCTTGGTCTGGAAGCTCCACTGAATCCTGTCCACCATGGGTGACCCTGCTGGTACATGAAATACCAGTGGCATAGCTTCCAGTCTGACAGTAACACGCAATCCACCGAAGTATGACAAACTGACAGATGAGTGGTGGAAGAACTACCTATATGGGATCAAATTGACAACAGTAACTTGAAAGAGTAGATAAGAACCTTCGGGGACAATGACTTTATGTCAATGGAGGAGGAACCACTCAGAAAAGGAAGATGAGAATCGTTGCACAAACTAAAGAATGTAATTGATGTTACTGAATTGTACATGGAGAAGCTGTTGAATTGGTGGATATTTTGCTGTGTATATTCTAGCAAGAAATTTTTTAAGAATTCTTATGGAGAATTCAACACTGTTGAATACACTGTTTTGTAGTTCTACTCTGTAATACATAGTCACTATGAGCTAGAATTGACTCAAGGACAGCTTTTTTTTTCCCCCTTGGTTTTATATCCTTGTTGTTGTTATGTGCCATCGAGTCACCTCCAACTCATAGCAACCCCTCCTTGGGTTTCCGAAGCGGTATCTCTATGGGCGTAGATTGCCCAACCTTCCTTCCAAGGTATAAAAAAACCTCTGCTACAGGTTAGAACACTGCTGAAGCGAACAGAAATTAAGCAGATCACTCATTAATCACCCAGCTATTAAATGGCAGAACTGGGATGTGAAGATGGGTCTGTGACTCTAAGGCTCATATTCTTAACCTGTACTCTATCTTGCCACTCTTTTCCCATGCTGGTGACTTCGAGGTCAGTGGAGTATATATTTAGTTAAGAACTCAGATGCATGAGTGAGAGGTGTAGTAATTAGCAGATGAGGGTTCCTTGTGGATAAAAGGGGTGAGGAAGGGAGGTAAATGACACTGGCTGGTGGGTAATAGCTTAAGATTCACAGCCCATCTTTCAGGTGTCAGATGACCAAGGAGAGGAAAGAACTGTCCAAGCAAAGCGTGTTCTAATGTCCTGGGGTGGGAGGGAGGAAGCATGGTAGCTGGGAGAGCTGATGGAGGAGAACAGCTAGAGCACAGAGTGGGAGCAGGGGTGGGAGACCAGGCCGGACTGAGCAGAGGAGTCATGGTGCCCAGGCCCTTCTCCTGTGGTAGTATCTCTGCAGCTTGGTGGGGGTTTTCTTGGTTTGGTTTTATTTCAATCTTTTTTAAAAATTTTAATGTAGTATAATATACATAACAAATCAATTGTTATTTCATCCATTTTGTTTATCATGATAAATACATATGTAACAAAACATTTGGCCATTTCAACATTCTTCACATGTACAATTCAGTGATGACATTAATGGTGATGGTTGAACGGCATGATGAACACAATTAACCTTTTTTGTGTGATTGTGATTAATTTTTTTCTTTTACAATTATTTGGTCCTCTGATATATCATTCTGCTAATCTATTTTAAAGTGAGGTGAATTTCATTTTTTTTTAAATTTTCTATAGATATCTAATACCAAATTTGCCAACTCAACATTTTTCATGGGCACAATATAGTGATATTAATTACATTGATCATGTTGTGCAACCATCACCAATAATAATTGCCAAATTTGCTATCATCACAAATAGGAACACACTGCTTCCTAAACAGAAACCAAAACCCCTGAATCCTCAGCTGTTTTGACCCTTCCTCCCACTCTTTCTAGGAACTTCAAAGGCACCAGCACCCACTGTTAGCATCGTAAATAAGCCCATTACATTAAGTCAGTTCTGACTCATGGGGACCCCATGTGTGACAGAGAACTGCTCCATGGGGTTTTATTGACTCTGGTAGCATAGTGGCTAAGACACTTGCCTGCTAACCAGACGGCTGGTGGTTCAAACCCACCAGCCACTCCTCGGAAGGAAGGTTGGGCAATCCTACTTCCGTAGTGATACTGCCTCGGAAACCCAAGGAGGGGTTGCTATGAGTCGGGTTTGACTCGACGGCACATAACAACAACAACAACAACAATCTTTTTTCAAGCCTTTCTTTTGTGGCACCACTGGGTAGGTTCGGACAGCCAGTACAAACTGTTTGCCCCACGTAGGGACTTAGCGCATAAATACCTATTGCTATTGAGTTCATTTCAACTCATGGTGACCCTATATGACAGGGTAGAACTGTCCCCATAGAGTTCTAAGGCTATAAATTTTATGGCAGCAGATTGCCACATCATTTTCCTGCTTAATGGTTAATGGGTTTGAACTACTGATCTTTTGGACCAAGCACTTAACCACTTCACACAAAGGCTCCTATAAAACCTATTGATGTGGAGTTAATTCCTACTCATAGTGACCCTGTAGGATGGAGTAGAACTGCTCCAAAGGGTTTCCAAGCCTGAAATCTTTATGGAAGCAGACTGCCACATCTTCCTGCCATTGGAATGGCTGATGGGTTCACACTGCTGACCTTTCACTTAGCAGCCAAGTGCTTAATGATTGCACCACCATAGCTTCTCAGCATCATAAATGGGAGAAGGAAAAATGTCAAGTGAATCCCCTCAAATTTTCAGTTTTTCAACAGCAAAAAATGTAAGGCTAGATTTTCTGATTCCTTCAACACACGTTTATTGGCTCTGCCTGGCCCTGTTCCAAGGACTGTAGACAGATTTGAACCTGATGATGGTGTTCTCACAGTTTAAGGACTAGAAGGAATGGAGGAGGAGCACAGAACTGTAGAGGCATCCTTCCCAGTCCCAGGGTGACCCCGGTGAGCAGAGAAACCATGCCCACAAGCAGACTTCACCCTATGCTCTCTTGTACCATGACTGGTTATTGGAGCATGAGTGTTGTCCTCACCTCCTGTGACCCTCTACTTTATACCTAGTGGCTCTAAGTCCTTTCCCCACATCTACAGGTCAGGGCCTTCTCCTTCCATGTCACAGAGAGCTCGATCTCCAATGTAAGGAAGGATGATGGGGGGGGGGGTACAAGAAGTGTCTCCATTTCTGGAACGATTAGCAACTCTCTGATGTTGAGTTCCCTCCCTGGACACAAGGAGCTTCCTCAGGACACGAAGTATTAACCTCTTACACAACACAAAAAGTGTAATCAATGTCATTGAAGTGTGCGTGAAAAAAACTGTTGAATTGGTGAAAGTTTTTTTTTATTTTTTAATTGTGATTTGGGCAAAAGTTTACAAAGCAAATTCATTTTTCATACAGCAGTTCACATACACTTTGTCTCATGACATTGACTACAATTTACCACAATGCAACAGCTCCCCTCCGACTTCCTCCCATTAGTTACCTCTTCCCTGTGTCCTTCCCTCCCATGAACTCCTGCCCCCCAGCGGTCTCCATGTGCAAAATCAGCCCTTCTGTTCTTCCATGATTGATCTCTCCAGAGATCATGTCTACCTAGTGTAAATGTTCAGCTCATATGCCTGTCTTTTGTTTGGCTGGAAGCCACAGGAGTGGGTTCAGTTGCAGACCTGAAGGGCAACTAGGGGCCATAGTCTCAGGGGTTCCACCAGGCTCTATCGGACCAGCAAACCTGGTCTCTTTCTTTTAAAAAAAAAAAAAAAATTTGAGTTTTATTCCACATTGTTCTCCCACTCTGTCTAGGATGTCCTACATTGAATTGGCAAAGGTTTGCTTTGTGTATTTGTACCACAATTGAAAATAATACTAATAATAGTGTTGCCCTCAACAATTTTAGTTGGTGAACAAAATGCTTCGTCGAATACCATATGGTGATCTTCAGCAGCTGGGAGGAGGCTAGTGCCTGTCAACTCAAATAGAGAGTAAAAGAACAAGACATAGCAGGGGAAAAACAAACTCACTGCCATAGAGTCAATTTCAACTCATAGCAACCCCCTTTGGGCTTTCGAGGCAGTAATCTTTACAGAAGTAGATTGTGCAGTCTTCCTTCCACAGAGTGGCTGGGGGATTTGAACTGCCAACCTTCTGGTTAGCAGCCAAATGCCTTAGGCACTACACCACCAGAGCTCCATCACATAGCAGGAAGGGCAGAAGGTGGAGCTGGCTCTGAAGTGGTTACATCATTAGCAGTTTCTTGGAGTATTTGCCTCTTTCCATCCCCGGCATTGTCATTTTGGAAGGTCAAAATCCCTGAGTCAGGAATCTCTCTGCAGCCAGACAATGTCATATGTATTAGATCCTGAAACACAGATCTGAGTGTCAGTAGTGTACCTGGAAGCTGACCCCAAGAAGCATGTGTAGAGGTGTGGGGAGGTGAGACAGGGGAGGGAAGGCAGGTAGTGAAGGGCGTGTTGATGAGCAAGTTCCCATTGTGGGCTCAGTGCTTCTGGGAAACCTTGGGAGAGTCCATAGAACATGGCCCTTGGATTATCCCCTCCCGAGGGGCTCAGGCCAGGATTTATCCACCAACTCTCACCAGCCATTTCTACAGGGCTGCTCCCTGGGCCTGTTCATTCCCCCAAGACAAAGAGATGCAGGTGCTGGCTTGTGCTGAAGGGGTCAGAGCAAAGTGGCTGTGGGAGTCAGGTGACAAACTAATCCTGGGTTTCCTGGGGCTGTCCCCCTGTTAAAATTTAAAATCTGCATCCCAAGAACCCTTTAGTCCCAAGAAACTGGCTGGCTGGCCACCCTATGTGGGAGGGTCTTGGGCAGTGATTGCTCTACGAAGTGTCTCAAGTAAGACAGCCCGGTGTGACCCCGACTCAACATTGCAGTTAGGCTGTTTCCTCAGAGGTCCCCCAGTTCCAACCAGGACCTGACTTGGCTCTGGCCTCTTCTTCTTTTTTTTTTTTTGTTTTTTATTAGGATTTGGGTGAAGATTTACAGAGTAAATTCACTTTTCATACAGCAGTTCACATATACTTTGTCTCATGTCATTGACCAAAATTTATAATGCAGCAGCTCCCCTCCCACTTCCTCCCCATAGTTACCTCCTCCCAGTGTCCATCCCTTCATACTCTTCTGCACCCTGAGCTATCTCCCTGCGCATAAGCAGCCCTTCCTTCTCCCATGATTGTTCTCTCCAGGGCGTGTGTCTACTTGAGGTAAATGTTTAACTCACATGCCTGTACTTTGTTTGGCTGGAAACCACAGTTGTGGGTTCAATTCCAGACCTGAAGGGCAGCTAGGGGCCATAGTCTCAGTGGTTACACCAGGTTCCATTGGACCAGCAAATCTGGTCCCTACCTTCTTTTTTTTTTTTTTTTGCCTCCAAATGATTTTGAGTTTTGTACCACATTGTTCTCCCTCTTTATGCAGGATCTCCTACATCACTTCCAAGTGGATGGCAGTGGTAGCCGGGCACCATCTAGTTCTTCTGGTCTCATAGTTGTATAGGTTGCAGATCAGATGGTGTACCAGTCGCTAGGACTGATTGTTTCCATTAATTTTGGTTTTCTTCTTTCTTCTTGACGAGGAGAGACCCGTTGTTGCATCTAGATGGCAGCTTCCTAGCTTTTAAGGTCCCAGTCGCTACTCGCCAAAGTAGGAGGTGGAACAATGTTTTGTATAGTATGTTATGCCAATTGAGCTTGATGTCCCCTGCGACTATGGTCCCAAGTCTGGCCTCTTCTTATCATCTCCCACTGCAGCTGCAGTTCCTTTCTTGATACCATTTACTGTCAACTTCACCGTCACCAACCTGCGCTACGTGGAGGACATGGGACACCCAGAATCTGAGACATTCAACACCACCGAGAGGGTCCTGCTGCACCTGGTGAGAGCTCCAGCGCCCACCTCACCTCACCCCTGCCACATCCTGACTCTTGGCCCTCCTCACCTCCCTCTCCTTTTTGTCCAGCTCAGGCCCTTGTTGAAGGACAGCAGCATCAGCTCCCTCTTCATTGGCTGCCAGCTGACTGCACTCAGGTAAGACCAACTCTGTAACACCTACAGCCCCCCCAATTCGGTCCTTTCTTGGGACCCCACACTTGGCCAGCCACAGCCATTTGGGCCTTTGTTGAGAGGCTATAGCACAGTGGTACCAGATCACCTGGATTTGATCCCCTGCTCTTCCATTAGCTAGCTGTGTGACCTTGGACAAGTCACATAACCTCTCTGTTCTTCAATAACATTCTCTCTAAAGTGGTGATAATAGTGGTATCTTACTCGTAAGGTTGTCAAACACTTGGCACTGTGCCTGGCTCACGGTGAGTGCTCAGTTAATGGGATCTCATAGTAACAGCTAGTATAGCATCTTTGCAAACTGTATCCCCAAGGTCTTAGCACCTGCCCTGCTCTGCCCCATCTCCACCATACTGGAAGCATACTAGTTCTGTAGTTTATTCCCTGGACACAATTAGGAACTTTCTCAAAGAAAGTCTTACTAGAACCATGTTGTTGTTGTTGTTGTATGCCGTCGAGTCAAACCCGACTCATAGTACCATAGGCAGAAACAAACCACATGTTGAGCTTCGGCGATATATTTTGCAGTTTTTAAAATTCCACATGGACCTGAACTCTCTGTAGAAATGGCCTGCCTTTCCCTCTCTGCCTGCATGCACCCTTCTGCGGTCTCTGAGGTTGGCGGGCTCAGACACTGTCATCATACTTCATGATCCCAGAGTCTCCATGACGCTCTCCATGCAGCTAATCTAGCTCATCCTGCTGATCGGTAGGTCCTCTGCTCACATCGCTTCATGAGGACCAATTCTCAGACTCTCCTACATCAAGCTGGGGCAGACCAGCCACCATGGAGTTGACTCTGACTCAAGATGCCCCATGAGTAGAACTGGGCACCCTAGGGCTGGCATTTAGTGAGAACACCAGAGGACACTTGCATGTGGTGGGGGAGTGGGCCTTACCCACGAATCGGCTGATTTTTCAGAAATAAATCCCCAGGCCTTTCTTCCCGGGCACACCCGCGGGGACCAGCACCTCCACCGTTTTGATTAGCAGCTGAGGGCATTAACCATCTGCATTACCCAGGGGCTCCATCATAGACCAAAACTGTCTTCAAAACTGTCACCACTTGTGCCACCCAGGCTCCATGACACTACCTACTCCATCTCGCCATATGGTGGGAGAATCAATAATCATAGTACCACACTTACCTCATGCCGGCCAGACCCAAAAGCCCTGTGGAAATCTGAGTCCGTTTTGAGAGTGTAAAAAATTAAGAGATAGTGATGGAAAGAAGAGTGAAGAAGGACTGATATGATAGGTAAGAGCTAAGGATGTGTACATGGTAGACTCAGAAATGAAAGTCACTATAAAGCAGTGGATTTCCACCACGAGTGACTTTGCTCTCCAGGGGACATTTGGTAATGCCTCGAGACATTTTTTGGCTGTCAGACTATGGGGCCGAGGGTACTATTGGCATCTAATAAGGAGAGGCCAGTGATGCAGCTGAACATCTTACGATGCACAGGATTTTACATGGTTTTCTTGGCTATAATCTTTCTAGAAGTAGATCACCAGGCTTTCTTCTGCAGCATCTCAAGGTGGATTTCAACCACCTGGTAGCCAAATGCAAACCATTTACATCACTCAGGGACCTTGGAACCAGAAAACCTGGATTCAAATCTTGGCTTCTCCTGAGCCAGTATTTAGCTCAGTTTCACCTCATGACCACTCCAGGTGTGTCAGAGTAGAACTGTGCTCCATAGGGTTTCCAATGGCTGTGACCTTCAAAAATAGATCACCAGGCCTTTCTTCTGAGGTGCTGCTGGGTAGTCTCGAGCCACCAACCTTTCTGTTAGTAGCCAAGTGCTTAGCCATATACACCACCAGGACCACCCATTGCTATCGAGTTGAATCCGACTTAGCAACCTTCTAGGACAGAGTAGAACTGCCCCATAGGGTTTCCAAGGCTTTAAATCTTTATTGTAGTAGACTGCCTCCTCTTTCCACCATGGAGCAGCTGGTGGGTTCAAACCAACAACACTCTGATTAGCAGTCTCATGCTTTACCCACTGTGCCACCAGATCTCATGCACAGGACAGCCCCTCACAAAAAAAAATGATCTGACCCAAATGTCAACAGTGCCAAGGTTGGGAAACCCTGCTCTACAGGATGTGTGATTCTCTCTCCTGCTTTTGCAACATTTTGGCTAGATTGTTCTAAATATAACAAGCTGTCCCCTACCATAGCATCACCCCCATTCCCCAAGAAAACCACACCCATTGCCATCGCATGCATTCTGACTCATGACCACCCCGTGTGTTACAGAGGAGATCTCCTCCACAGGATTTTCTTGGCTGTAACTTTGCAGAAATAATTCACCAGGGCTTCCTTCCATAGACCCACTGGCTGGGTCTGAACCACCAACCTTCAGGTTAACAGCCAGTTGCACACCACTTGTGCCACCCAGGCTCCTTATATATATTACCTCCCAGAAATGACCCCATCCTGCTGTGTGACTTCCCAGGGGTGGATCTGAGATAATGTCCCAACCTGGAGGGATTGTGGAGCAGTACAGTATAGTGAAGGAGACTTGGTGGCACAGTGGTTAAGTGCTCAGCTGCTAACTGGAAGTCAGTGGTTCAAACCTGGCAGCACACAAAGAAGAAAGATGTGACAGTCTGCTTCCATAAAGATTACTGCCTTGGAAACTCCATGGCATAGTTCTGCTCTGTCCTATAGCGTTGATAAGTGGGAGTTGACTCAATGGCAACGGGTGTGCTACACGGTGGTATAGTGGTCTCACATTTTTCTACAGAGTCTGACAGACCCATGCTCAAATCCCAGCTCCCCAGCTCAAGCTGTGTGGCTCCTGGCAAGTTATATAATATCTCAGTGCCTTCACCTTTTCATCTGTAAATTGGAAGGTCTTTGCTTGCATTTCTGCATAACAAATTTAGCCCCTGATTCTGCTCGTTGGTAATTTGGGCTAGGAGATGCTTGGGCAGCCATTCTATTTATTCCACCCCACCCCACGCGCGCGCACACACACACACCGATTAAGACATTCCATGTCCCCACAAGCCCTCCTGCTTTCTCAGTCCTTCACTCATCAGGGCTTCTTGGGCACCTGCCCGGAGTTCCCACCTCCCCATACCCTTGTCCCTCCCTGTTCAGGCCTAAAGAAGATGGAGCAGCTACTGGAGTGGATGTTGTCTGTACGCACCGGGCTGACCCCACAAGCTCTGGACTGGACAGAGAGAGGCTCTACTGGGAACTGAGCCACAAGACCCGCAGCATCACCCAACTGGGCTCCTACACCCTGGACAGGGACAGTCTCTACATTAATGGTGAGCATCCTTTGAGGAACCACAAACTGAAGCTGACAATCTGGCCGTCAGGAGTGTGGCTCTCCAGGTCATGACAGTTCCATCCACCTGGGCAAATTTCCTTAATGACATTCTCACCTTCACCTCCATAAATCTTCAGTACACCAGTCTCTTTCTTTCCTTTGTGTCTAAACACTACAGAGCAGTGATTTGCACACTGATCCAAAACAGCCTTTCTCTAGATAGACTAGTGCCAAAGGGTGTTCAAGTCTGGCCATTCAGCTTTTTTCCTCAAAATATTGCAAGTTCATGAAGATAGGGATTGAGTCTTCAATTTCTCTATATTTTATGAAAAAGATTTACCAGTTGCTGTCAAGTCGACTTTGACTCATGGCAACCTCATGTATGTCAGAGTAGAACCTTGCTCCATAGAGTTTTCAACGGCTGATTTTTCTGAAGTAGAGTGTCAGGGCTTCCTTCTGAGGTCCCTCTGGGTGAACTCAAACCACTAACATTTTCACTGGCAACTGAACACTTCATCATTTGTACCACCCAGGGTTGTGTCTATATATATATATATATTGCCATCGAGTCAACTCCAACTCATGGACTTCCCAGGTGGTACAAAGGTTAATGTATGACTGTTAACCAAAAGGTTGGTGGTTTGAGTCTGCCCGGAGATGCCTTGGAAGAAAACTAAAGCTTTGGTGATCTACTTCCAAAATATCAGCCATTGAAAACCCTATGGAACACACTTCCATTCTGACACATACAGGTCACCTTGAAAAAGATGTGTTGTTGTTGTTGTTAGGTACTGTCGAGTCCATTCCAACTCAGAGTGACCCTATGTACAACAGAATGAAATACTGCCCAGTCCTGTGCCAGCCTCACAATCCTTGCTATACCTGAGCCCACTGTGGCAGCCATAGTGTCAATCCATCTCATTGAGGGCCTTCCCCTTTTTCACTGACCCTCCACCTTACCAACATGACATCTTTCTCCAGGGAATAGTCCCTCTGACAACATGACCAATGTAGGTGAGACAAAAGCAGGCCACTCTCACTTCCAAGGAACATTCTGGCTGCACTTCCTCCAGGACAGATTTGTTCACTCTTCTGGCAATCCATGGTACTTTCAGTATTCTTCTCCAACACCACAACTCAAAAGCATCAACATTTTTTCAGTCTTCCTTGTACACTGTCCAGCTTTCACATGCATATGAGGTGATTGAAACACCATGGCTTGGGTTAGGCACACTTCAGTCTTCAAAGAGACATCTTTGCTCTTCAGCTGCTCTTAAATCGTGCTTGTTAAACTGTGTAGACTTGATGTCTGAGTTGGGAATGGGAGCTGATGACTCTCATGTTGTCTTGGATGTCCTCCTGCTGTCTGCACTGCAATTCCATCTGCTTTTCTCATGGCAGGTTACACCCATCGAGGCTCAGCACCTACCCCCAGTGGTAAGTACTCAAGTCTCTCATGGCCAGGTGCTCCAGACTTCTTTGTGGGCAACAGCTGATCCCTCTACCCCTCAGTGCAAGATCTTGAGGAGAAGCCAGAAGACCTAGCTCTCACATCCCTACCTCTGCATTCCATGGCTTAGGCCACACAGCACAATGTACTCTGGCTTCCATCCTCCCTCCCAATCCCCAGTCTCACTCCAGACTGTTCTCCTCAGCTGCTGTGACTTCCACACTCTTCTCAGGAACCTCCATGGCACCAGTCTCCTACTCCAGTTCCACAGGTAGGTGACTTCTCTCTCCAATGCCTTCTAGAAGACAAAGTATTTGGCTTCAAGGCCAAATAAATATTGACAGCAGTAGGTTTGGTTTTCAGTATGTTCTAGGCCATGAGCTCTAGTGGCATAATGCTTCAGGCATTTGACTGCTAATCAGAAGGCTGACAGTTCAAACCCATCTGCCACTCCTCAGAAGGAAGAAGATGCAGAGAAAAGTTAGTGTGAGGGAACCTGGAGCACCATCATGGGCACCCTTCGCTTTGCCCTGAACATCTCAAGAGAAAGGATGTGTCCTTCTCATCCATCCAGCTGTGTAGACTTTGGGCAAATTACTTACCCTCTTAATGCCTCTGTTTCCTCACCTGCCAAATGGAGCGATACTTCAGTACTTCATAAGGTCGTTGTGTAGGTTAAATGAAAGCATATACAATATCACCTAGCCCAGGAGCTACCAAGGAATTTAATTCAACAGATATTTATTTGGCATGTATTCTATGCTAGGAATAGGAGATAAGATGTTGAGTAAATCAGGTTAGTCCCTCCTGTAACCAAATTTAAAAGGTCGCCAGTTTGCATTTGATTACTAACATAAAAGTTGGCAGTTCAAACATACAGTAACACATACACCTCAAGAGCAATGGGTTGGTTGGTTGGTTTTTTGTTTCAATATATTTACAGTGTAAAGATATATATACAGTGGGGGAAGACTGATATTGAACATGCAAATGCAAATTGATAATTATAATAAAAGACAACCATGTTATTTAACACCTCTTATGTGCTACACCAAGGAGCCCTGGTGGTGCAGTGGTTAAAATGTGTGGTCGCTAACTAAAAGTTCAGCAGTTCAAACCCAGCAGTTGCTCTGTGAGAGAAAAATGTGACAGTCTGCTTCCATAAAGATTTACAGCATTGAACATCCTATGGGGCAGTTCTACTCTATCCTATAATGTTGCTATGAGTAGGAATTGACTTGACAGTAGTATGTTTGGTTTTTGGTATATTCTAGGCCATGAGCTCTGGTGGGCTGGTGGTTCAAACCCACCAGCCACTTCTCAGAAGGAAGATGGGTCAATCTACTTCCGTAGTGATATTGCCTCGGAAACCCAAGGAGGGGTCACTATGAGTCGGGTCTGACTCGACGGCACACAACAGGCCATGAGCTCTAGTGGTATAGTGCCTAAGGCATTTGACTGCTAATCAGAAATCTGGCAGTTCAAACCCACCAGCTGCTCCTCAGAAGGAAGACTGGGCAATCTACTTCCATGAGAAACCTCCTCAGAAACCCAAGGAGGGGTCACTATAAGTCAGATCCTACTCAACAGCAGTGAGTTTGGTTTTTTGGGGTTTTTTTAGGCCATGTGTGCTTTGTTTCTGTGTGTGTGTGTGTTTTATTTTAACATTTTAGGATTTTCAAAATAGTTAGATTCACAGAAAATTGATGAAATGATACAGAATTCCTATGTCTCCTTCACCCAGTTTCTCCCCAATGGTTATACTGTGCATAACTATAAAAAATAAAGCAAAACTCACTGCTGTTGAGAGAATGCCAACTCATGGTGACCCCATGTGTGTCAGAGTGGAACTGTACTCTGTAGGGTTTTCAGTAGCTGACTTTTTGGAAGTAAATTGCCAGGCTTTATTTCTGAGGTGTCCATGGGCAAGCTTGAACATCAAACCTTTTGTTTAGCAGCCAAACAATGAACTTTTGGTACCACCATGTTAAATGTGATTGAGTGGATTTTTTCCCTTCCTTGTCTTCCAGCCTTTGACATGGCCCAAATGCTGTGCCTTTTAACCTCTAACCTACTGTCTGTCAGAACCAGTCGTGAGGGTCCAAGACTCAGCCCTGGTTGCATAGCCTGGCCCATATGCAGGCTGGGACCCCAAAACCTTGCTTCTTACCTGGCCTTCCATTTTCTATCCTAAGTAAAGTCATAGGCTGCCTGCTTCAAACCTCTTGAGTTTTTTTCCCTACCCCTTGCAACAGCAGTCCCCTTCCTGGTGCCATTCACCCTGAACTTCACCATCACCAACCTGCGGTACACAGAGGACATGCAGCTCCCGGGCTCTGGGAAGTTCAACTTCACTGAGAAGATTCTGCAGCGCCTGGTGAGAGTCCCACTGGCCTAACCCTTGCCCACTTACTGACGTCAGCCCCGCCCACTGAAGCCAGCCCCACCCACCTCATCCTGCCCACCCTTCTGATGCCTCAGCCCTTCCTGGCCTACCTCCATGGCTCCTTCTCACCGCCGCTATCCGTCTTCACAGCTCCAACCCTTGTTCAAGAATAGTAGCCTGGGATTCCTCTATGCTGGCTGCAGCCTAGACTCACTCAGGTGAGACCCACGCGGCAGGTGGATGGGACCCTCACTTATGAGCTCTCTGACGTGTCCATACAACTACCGCCCATGATATCTCAGCATCAACAACAACAAAGACAATGACAATAACAGCAACAGCTAACAATTAGGAAGACCCAGGGCACATGCTATGCATTTAATACCTGATTCAGTTCTCACAAATGTCTTGTGAAGCAGGAACGGAAGGTGAAACCAAGGCACAGGGATTAAGTGGCTTGCTCCTCGTCACACAGAGGTAAACCATGCATTTCTAGTTCTGGATACAAACCCCTAACTCTTAGGGAGTACAGCCTCCTTTGCCTCCATAATGGTCTTGGGTTTCTGAGGCAGTATCACTATGGAAGTAGATCACCCAATCTTCCTTCCTAGGAGTGGCTGGTGGGTTTGAAGTGCCAGCCTTCTGGTTAACAGTCAAATGCCTTAGGCACTGTGTCACTAGAGCTCTCTTCATGGTCTCACAGGGTATAGAAAATACCCTTCTGACAACCTCTCAGAAGGAATTTGCCTGGATAATATAAGAGGGGAGGGAAACAAGCAAATTGCATTATGGAGAAGGCATGATCCTACATGTGTCAGACCTTCAGCTGAGAGGATCTGAGCTTCCTGAGCTGACTGGGAGGTGGGGCAGGGCATGGTCTTTGGGATGACCAAAGAACATCTAGATATGAAGTTGTTTTTAGCTGTTGAGTTGGCCACTGACTCATGGCAATCTTATACACAAGGGAACAAAACATCTTGCACCATCCCCATGATCAGTTGCAGACAGGAGAGTTGTGATCCACTAACAGACAAGTGGTGACTGCACATGAGATGCATTGGCTGGGAATTGAACCCCATCTCCTGCCTGGAGGGTGAGAATTCTACCCATGAACCATTACTGCCCCCTAAACCAGTTACTGTTGAGTCCATTCTGATTCCTGGTGACCTCATGTGTATCAGAGTCAAACATGAAGAACCTCCATAAGGTTCTTGATGATTGGTTTTTCAGAATCAGATTCCAGACTTTCTTCTGGGCCATCTCTGGGTGGCCTTGAACCTCCAACATTTCCGTTAGCTGCCAAGCAGGTTAACTGTTTGCACCAATCAGGGACTCCTATACTAAACATTTAACAAATCATAGGCATTATAGGAGGTACCCCAACCATAGCTCTGGATGGAAAGGGCCCTGGAGTTCTTTCCCTCATAATCACTGAGTAATTTACAACTGGATGCCTAGTAGGTGGGACAGTGTCCTGTAGCTGGAGATGGGTACTGAAACACAAAGGCTTGGATTCCATGTTGAACAGGCTACAGTTTTAGACAGATCCGCAAAAAAGCATCTCTTCCAAGCTGTTTAGCTCCCTGAGTCTCTTTAGAAATGTTCCTTCCTTGCTGTTCCACAGGATCTATGGTGGGTGAATTTAGCATCTGATTCTACCATTTGAAAAGATACTCCCAGTCTCTCAAGGACAAGGCACTGACCAGGTCATGTGCAGCTGTCCTGAGACCACTGCCACCTATTACAGCATGACTGTAAGCATCCCCTTGTGACTGTCAGGACCTGTGACGAGACATCGCTGTGGAGGCATCATTAGACATCTTCCAGGATCACTCACGCCATCCACAGTCCCTTCTCTGTATCTACCGCACATCCAGTGCTTCCAGAGGCTTCCCCTCAATGCACACAGAGGACTTGGAGTCTCATGGTGTCCTAGTTATTTTTTTACAGTGAAGTCTTCCTGAAGGCAGCAGATTCCTTGTGAACTAGAGATTCTCAAGTTCCTGCTTTAGACACTAACAGACAGAGAGGAGAGGATAGATGGACGGGGAGATATTTGGGCTAACCATCTGAGAGTTCTTACCCAGGTCTGAGAAGGATGGGGCAGCCACCAGAGTAGATGCCATCTGCACCCACCACCCTGACCCCAAAGGCACTGGACTGGACAGAGAGTGGCTGTATTGGGAGCTGAGCAAGATGACCCACAGTGTCAACCAGCTGGGCCCCTACACCTTGGCCAGGGACAGTCTCTATGTCAATGGTGAGCAGCTGTGATGGGTGGGGGTCCCTTCTTCCCCACTGAGCAGCTTCTCTTTGGCCTGAAGCCATCATCCCTCCCTGGCCCTTGGGGGCTTCTCCATGTACACTTGATGTGCTGATTCAAGTCTGGATTTTACATCGTCTTCTTCATCTTGGACTGACTTCACTCTCAGGCCTTCTCCTTCCCTGATGTGGGAGTGCTGATAGAGTACCACAACAGCTCCTGATCCATGAAGCCCCCTCCAATATACCAGGGTAGCTCTGACCTCTGTTTGGCCTCCTATCTCTCCTTTAACCCTCACCCAGTGTACTCTCCCTCTCACTGCAGGTTTCACCCATCGAGAGTCTGCACCCATCACCAACAGTAAGTGTTCAACTGATTTCCCAGTGTCCCCCACCCTCCACCATGCAGGAAAGGCTGACCTCTCTTGATGTCCCCTCATGCCCTCTCCAAGAGGGAAGGAGCTGGGAGAGCACAGATTATTTACCCTTCCCTCTGTCCCAGGCCCAGAGGGAGTCCCACCCTAGCACCACTGTGCACCAAGCCCCGGGGTCTCTCCCTCTGGCATTCCTGCCATGTTGGTGCCTTACTGCTTTCACTAATGTAGTTTCTCCTCAGCTCCTGGGACCTCCACAGTAGACTTGGGAACCTCCCAGAGTCCATCCTCCTTACCCAGTACCACAGGTAAATACCAGTAATGGTACATCTATTAGAGGGTGCCTGATGAGTGTAAACATCTCTGACATTATTCACTCAATAAAGATGGAAAATCACAGTAAACTTACTGATGATGGGTCAGCCAGTGACCATTTATTGATCACCTTACTCTGTGCCAGGCCCTGGGGTACAGCAAGGGTCACAAAATAGACAAAAATCTCTGCCCTCACAGAGCTTATATTATTGTGATGATGGTGATGATGATTGTTCTGGTGATGATGACAATGGTGATGATGATGATGATGGTGATGGTGATGAAGGTGATGATAATGGTGATAATGAAGATAATGATGGTGATGAAGGGAATAATGATGACAAAAATTATGGTGATGATGATGAAGATGGTCGTGATGATGGTGATAATAATGTGATAATCATCATGATAATGATATTGATGGTGACAATGATAAAAATAATATTCACCAAGCGTTATGCACAGCATCTAACTGTGTTATTATTATCTCATTTGATATGCTTAAAAATAAAGTTCTATCATTACAGACAAGGGAGGCAAGGAAACTTTTGGTTGTATTT